GGGCGTTATAATGTGACGGTCAATCTCACTATTCGTTGGTAAATGAGTAGCCCAAGAGTTGGCGGTGGGTGGTGATGACTTGCTCCCTTCCCTCTAGTCTTACACTGCTAAATTAGGGACGGCTAGCGCAGATAGCCCTCGTGTAGCTTTGCGCGAAATTCAACACAAACAAACAAACTGATTACATATTCAACTTTTCCAGTTTTACTGACCAATTCGCAAATCTTTGTCTTCTGTTAGTTTTCAGTAGAGTTGAAAATAATTACCATTGGAATGAAATGTATATTTGAATTCCGTTTACGTCAATTTTTAAAATCATCTTATTTCCATGAATATTAAAATGCACAGTTTGGAAAAAAAAAATTCAAAACCGAGTAAAAAAATTAATTTTTTCATTCTCGAGAATAATAATAAAATTCTGATTTTCAGATTCTCTCGCCGATCTTCGAGAAGACACCAACTTTGTGTCGATTGAAAACTGTCACGAGAAACGAAGACGAACGCGAACGAATTTTAACGGGTGGCAGCTGGAGGAGTTGGAAAAGGCGTTCGAGGCTAGTCACTACCCCGATGTCTTCATGCGGGAAGCCTTGGCGATGAGATTAGATCTTGTGGAATCCAGAGTTCAGGTAAGAAACAACGTTGGTAATTTATTGGAATGCGAACCAATGGCTATATTGAAACAGATAAAATCTTATTAGAGGACACATTATGAAAAATCAAGAAGATATAATTAGAAATTCTTAGAAACTTTTCAATTTAAATTGCTGTAATTACAGGAGAACAGAATACTAAGCATGTGCCCTTCTTCTGTCCATCTGTATGTACTTTCTGACTATCTACAGAAGTATTGTGAAGAATCGTGTTTAGTGGTTCTCTCCCTTCAACACATCTACAGATACGTTATCCTTGTCTCCCGAATGTGTTGAAGGACGGAACACTTAATGCTTATATCTACAGTTTAGGCCCGACATGGCCAGGTGGTTAGGGAGCTTGACTCGTAGTCTGAGGGTCGCGGGTTCGAATCCTCCGTCCCACCAAACATGCTCGCCCTTTCAGCCTTGGGGGCGTTATAATGTGACGGTCAATCCCACTATTCGTTGGTAAAAGAGTAGCCCAAGAGTTGGCGGTGGGTGATGATGACTAGCTGCCTTCCCTCTAGTCTTACACTGCGAAATTAGGGACGACTAGCGCAGATAGCCTTCGTGTAGCTTTGCGCAGAATTCAAAAACAATCTACAGTTTATCTCGACGTACATTGGTGTTATCTCCGTAAGGTGTTGTCTATCTTGATGGACTTTATGATTGTTAACAGTGTGTGTGTTGTCGGGTGGAATATTTAGAGTTTCTATCTCTAATCAACACCCCTAACTGTCACCGACAACAGAAACATACCTTGATACGTTGAGTTCCCCTTTGAGCCGTACAGATAAGTAATCAGATATTTAAATAGCATGTGTTCCAGTTTCCTTCGAACTGAGTAGTAAAGACATAGTATCTAATTATATCTGTTTCCTATATCAATAAACAATTGATAACATTGACGTGCACGTGGGGGTGTGTGGCTGGGTGGGCTGAAGACCCTGCCTTTCCTACCCTTATGCTCTCCAAGTGCACTCTTCTGAAAAACTTTCTACGTTTCTTCAGGTGGTCTTCCTATATGGCTGTGTGTCAGAATGTCGTCCACATAATGCTCAGTTTTGGTGGTTTTGTGCAGCATCCTTCTCATCATGTCGTTGAATGTTGTTGCTGAGTTAACTAACCCAAATGGCATCCTCATAAATTGGTCACATCCATCTGGTGTCACAAATGCTGTCTTCTTTTTAGATCCTGTCTCCATCGGGATCTGTCAATACCTTTTACTGAGGTCGATCTTTGAAAAGAACTTGGCCCCATCTAGGTTTACCATGACAGCCTCTGGGTTGCCCCATAAGTTTGGAGTCGAACTAACACACACTAATAGTCAGACCATAGTCAAGATTCTAACACACACTACTAGTCAGACCATAGTCAAGATTCTAACACACACTACTAGTCAGACCATAGTCAAGATTCTAACACACACTAATAGTCAGACCCTAGTCAAGATTCTAACACACACTAATAGTCAGACCATAGTCAAGATTCTAACACACACTACTAGTCAGACCATAGTCAAGATTCTAACACACACTACTAGTCAGACCATAGTCAAGATTCTAACACACACTACTAGTCAGACCATAATCAAGATTCTAACACACACTACTAGTCAGACCATAGTCAAGATTCTAACACACACTACTAGTCAGACCATAGTCAAGATTCTAACACACACTACTAGTCAGACCATAGTCATAATTCTAACAC